TAGTTATGTTGGAATATTTTTCCCTTGGTTGATACTGTCAACCATTAATTTTTACCACTAATTATTGCTTGTTTTTCCTGTGATTTTCATTTAATTTTATATTGAATCTTTTATTTTTGTAGACTGTTAACTTCCCTTCCCTTTGTTAAACTTGCTTCTGAGTAAATTCCTCAGAAATATCTCAGTTCTCTTGGGTTTAATGTAGTTTGTATCAATCCTTTCACTTTATTTTGGAGGTTGCTGGCTTACTGAGTTGGAAATAACTAATTCTAATTCTCATGTATTCATCTATTTTTGAAATTTATTCTTTCCTGAGCTCTGGTGTTTGTGACTGTCTTCTCCACTCCTATTTGAAAGATTAAATATCTTTAACAATGCTGGGTTAGTGGTCATGAGCAGCTTATTGTGCTCATCATGGAAGGTCCTTATTTCTCCTTTGATGTTGAAGGGTAACTTAGCTAGCCCGGTGGCAGTGGCTCATGCCTCCTAGCTACTCAGGAGGCTGAGATCTGAGGATCATGGTTCAAAGCCAGACCAGGCAGGAAAGTCTGTGAAACTCATCTCCAATAAACCACTAGAAAACTGGAAGTGGTAGAGTATTCGCCTTGAGCTGAAGAGCACAGGGACAGCACCCAACCCCAGAGTTCAAGCCCCATGACCCACAAAAAAAGGGGGGGTAACTTAGCTGGACTCAATATTCTTAGTTAATGTTCTATACTCTCAAGCCAAGCTCAGAGAGAGAACCAGAGCATGTTTTCTCTCTTATGTGGAAGCTAAATCTAAAATACAACTGGACATAAAAATGTATTAAAAGATTTATGCATTCACACATAAACTAAGGAGAATACATTTAGGGTAGAAACCAAAAGGCAAAACTCCTCTGAACAACTATGCATCAAAACAAATTCCTGGAAATAGAAACATATTTTTGTGTGTGTGTTTTTTGTTGGGGGGGAGGGTTAGAGGGGTATAGGAGGCAAAAAGGTAGGCACAGGAATGGAGGGAGTAAGGGTGAACAAATGCAGTCAATATAACTATAAACTATGGCCAGACACTATAAACTATGGCCAGACACTGATGGATCACACATGTAATCCTAGCTACTCAGGATCTGAGGATCATGGTTCGAAGGCAGCACAGGCAGCAAAGTCCTTGAGGCTCTTACCTCCAATTAACCACCAGAAAAACCAGAAGTGGAACTGTGACTCAAGTGGTAGAGCACTAGCCTTGAGCAGAAGAGCTCAGGGACAGCACTCAGGCCCTGAGTACAAGCCTCATGACTGACAATAAAATTTAAAAAACAAAAAAACAAAACCACAAATGAAAAATATAACCCTTGCAACTTGTAGTCAGAGAAGGGAAATGGGAAATGAAGATGAGGGAAAACTAAGAAAGGGGTGAATTGTCCAAGAATCATTGTACTCATCTGATTTATGGAATTTAACCCCTTTGTTCAATGCACCACTGGATCTAGCCATTGATTTCCCCAGAGCTTTGTTAAAATGGTAAGCCTTATAACACAATAAAAAAAATCTGAAATTTGTATATCTGAAAATATCTGAAAAATGTATACCAAGGGCAGCTCTGCTTTCTCCCCTCCTTTTTACCCTCATTATTTCATTGTTTTCTTAAATACGAATTCTAAGATGTATGATCTTACTTCCTTCTACCCCTTTCAGCTCTTTATACTATTTTTCATCAGAGAATGTATCATGAATCCTTTCCAAATGAAAATATTATGCATTCATTCCGTTCTCGTAATTCCACAGCATTCCATTTTATTTTGAATTTATTTAGCTGGTCCATTCTTGTGTATTTGAGTTTTCTTCAAGAATTTTGTACCTTCTCCAGCAAATTTTTTCTGTTGGAAGAAGTATTTTCATTTCTACACCTCTATTTTTCTATCTTCATTTTCTTTTTTGGGGGGGTCTGGTCGTGGGGCCTGAACTCTGGGCCTGGGAACTGTCCCTCAGCTCTTCAGCTCAAGGCTAGCACTCTACCACTTGAGCTACAGCACCACTTCCGGCTTTTTTCTTTTTGTTTATGTGGTGCTGAGGAATCGAACCCAGGGCCTCAGGCATGTAAGGCAAGCGCTCTACCACTGAGCCACCTTCCCAGCCCCTCTATCTTTATTTTCATGCCTTTCCTTTTATATTCTTACATCTAAGAACTATATCACTTAAATGTTCTTAGCAGTCTAAACTTTCCTCTTTTGTCACCAGCTGTTCATTTGTAGTGACTGTTTCATTTGGTTTGCAGTTTGGGGTGTGCAGCTCAACTTCAACAGAGCTGAATTTATACAGCTCCTGAATGTAAACTTTGACTCTTTATATCTTCCATGTGCACTAAAGGCTAGCTGGTCCAGAGATTCTTGATGTTAATTTTTGTGTTACTGGCCCAGAGAAATAGTATATTCAAAATCTAAAGATACGTACACATAAGATCCTGCCTAAAAACATTTCAGGGGGAAAATCACTTTTCCTAATCTAGCACCCAGCCCAATATATAAACAAGCTTCTGTGTGTGTGTTGTTCTTAGGGCTTCAGCCCAGGGACTATAGGTGCTGTCCTTGAGCTTTGAACCTGAACCAAAGCTCCACTTCCAGCTTTTTAAATGTTTAATTGGAAATAAAAGTCCTGAAAGTGGAGATATGGCTCAGAGTGGTAGAATGCTAGCCTTGAGCAAAAAAGCTCAGGAATAGCATCAAAGCCCTGAGTTCAAGCCCCAATAACAACAAAGTCTCATGGACTTTTCTGCCCAGAACTTGCAGTCCTCACAGATTTCAGCCTCCTGAGTAGCTAGGCACCCAGAAAAGTACAAGGTACCAGAAAACAAGCTTCCTTTTATTTTCCTGTGCTGGGGCCCAAACCTTTCCCCTTGTTTACTTTGTGTGCAACTCTTGGCTTTATCATGGTGCATTATTTCCACACGTTACCTCATCTAAGCCCAATGCACACATGTAAGTGTGTTTCATTGGTCTCTCTGGCCACTAGAGATTACAGTTTCTCTATGGCACAATGACTTGCATCATAACATTACTCAGCATTTCTAGGTATTTCATATCAAATAAACTTTGTGCTAAAAACCTCTGATATCACCCCAATTGTGCATAGAACAAGGCTGTAAGGGACATTAATTTGAATCTTAACAGCTCTGTAATCACAGGCACATTGTTTATATCCTGTCTAATTACAGGCTCGTATGAATAGAGGATCTAAAATGTTTAGTATAAGTCTGGTGTTGCCTAATTTATTTATTTTTTTTAATTTTTAAAATTTTTTTGTCAGTCGTGGGGCCTGAACTCTGGACCGGGGCGCTGTCCCTTAGCTCTTCAGCTCAATATTAGTGCTCTACCACTTGAGCCACAGCGCCACTTCCAGCTTTTTCTGCGTATGGTGCTGAGGAATCAAACCCAGGGCCTCATGCATGCAAGGCCCTCTACCACTGAGTCATCTTCCCAACTCCGCATAATTAATTTTCTACAAAGTAAAAAAGTACTTAGAAGGTAATAAATGTGTTGTATATCTTGTTTTAACAGTGTCAAAAAGACTGACTACAATAGCAAGGAAACTTCCCAATCATGTATATGTGTGTTTATGCCATATCTGTGACCTCAGTAATCTATCGGCAGATACTAATAGCAAGCTCTGATCATTGTTAACACAAAGTATTTTTTCATAGTGATGATGGAAAAAGAAATAAAAAGAATCAAATGTACTGCTATGGATGGTAAATCTACAGAGGATATTAGACAACTTTTTTTGGTGTAGAACTCTCTTGTCATGAGGATTATACCAAAAGTAAACAAACAGACTCACTTAAAGCTGAGCTGGTCACTTTAAATATTCAAAAACAAACTGAAAGGCTTTGACACTGGTGGCTTGCACCTATAATCCTAGCTACTCACAAGGCTGAGATCTGAGGAAAGGCCATGGAAACTCATCTCCATTTAACCACCAGAAAAACCAGAGGTTTTTCAGTGGTAGTTCACTCTCCTTGAATTGAAGAGCTGAGGAACAGCACCCAGGCCCAGAGTTCAAGCCTCATGACTGACACCCCCCCCCAAAAAAAAAGCAACTGAAAAACTGACAACACAGAATAGAACAAATCCTCCTATACTAGGAAAGGTCAGAAGTCAATTAATGTAATACATGGAGAAAAACTTCCAGTATAACTGATTTTAGGACACTAATTTTAAAATTCCAGTGAATTCTTTTTTTTTTTTTTTTTTGCCAGTCATGGTACCTGAACTCTGGGCCTGGGCACTGTCCCACAGCTCTTCAGCTCAAGGCTAGTGCTCTACCACTTGAGCCACAGCACCACTTCCAGCTTTTTCTGCTTATGTGGTGCTGAGGAATGGAATCCAGGACCTCATGCATGTAAGGCAAGCACTCTACCACTGAGCCACCTTCCCAGCCCAAATTCCAGTGAATTCTATACTAAAAGAAAAGGCAAAAGGAAAAAAAATAAGATTCTTAAATAGGTTAAGAACACTGAAAACAAAAAGTTTTTAAGCAGATTAAAACAGCATGAGATTCTATCATCCCTTTTTCCATTCTAAGCTTATTACACCATCATCAAAATCTCTTTTTAGTGGCTTAGTGGTAGAGTGTTTCCCTAGCTTTCATGAAGCCCTGGGTTCAATTCCTCAGTACCACATACACAGAAAAAGCCCGAAGTGTCACTGTGGCTCAAGTGGTAGAGTGCTAGCCTTGAAAAAGATGCTCAGGGACAGTGCTCAGGCTCTGAGTTCAAGTCCCAGGACTGGCAAAAAAAATATCTTTCCTAATGTATTTTCTTATGATTACATTGTTAGTTTTCTTTTTAATTATAGTTACCCATTCAAAGTTAAACCCAAATGTTAAAACAGTCCGGACTAATATACACCCGTATTTGAGGTATAGCGGGAAGATCAAGAGTTTTAGTCTACCTGGGCTATATATCAATACTCTGAAAACAAAGCAAAAACAGAAATACTTGAAATAACAGTCACAGAAAAGTCAGAATTAAATTTTATTTCACATTGATAGAAACCGTGAAAAACATTTACATATTCCCATGTTACACCATATTTCACTGGGATATTTCTTGCCATAAAGACCTTAATGGTTTGTGTAACTGAAATGTTTATGTTCTTCAAGGCAAATGACTTAGTAAATGATTGTTGAAATTTTTCAAATCCAGACACAAACATATGGCTTCATTATTAACATCCTGTATAATCCATTACTAAATTCCATGATCAATTAGCACCCATTTATAAAGATGCATTCTTAACATTGTTTTGGTCAATTGGAAATCAGCAGAAAAATTAACACTGTTCAGAAATACCAAGCACATTTCTTTGCTACATATTAAACTGTGTAGTATATATTAAACAGTAGTATAGGGTTCTAATCTTTACCATCCATAATTTGTTTTTAATTAATTTTTACTGTTAATCCAGAAATTTTTACTTAAAAATCAAATACTTACTATTTCTAGGTTTGCTCAAAAGATCTTTTCTTGGTACTAGTACCTAGGGATTGAACTCAGGGCCCAGCGGCTGTTCTTTAGCTTTTCCAGGCAAAGCTGGCACCCTACTACTTAAGCCACAACTCATTATTTTTGGTGGTTAATTGGAGATAAGAATCTCACAAACTTCCATGCCCCAACTGGCATCAAACAGTGGTCCTCAGCTCTTAGCCTCCTGAGTAGCTAGGATTATAGGTGTGAGCCATCAGTGCCTGGCTCGAAAGAAATAATTTTTAAAATTCATTTGACTAAAGTGAAAATTTCAAGTAAGTCTGTTCGCAGATAGAAATAATGTAGAAGTTTCTAATGAAACATTCATTTTCTACAGTAATGGGTTTCAAACATACATACAGAAAAGGTAAACTTAAAATTCTATGCTACATACCCAATCATTTAATAATTTGAATTTAAGATCAATCTTAAACATCTCTGAACATACCAGAGTATTAGCTATCCTTTTTTTTTAACAAGAAACTAAACCACATAATCATATTACCTAAATAGTCTAGTAATTAGATCTAAATTTGGACTAAGGTGTAATTTGAAATATGTAGTACAGGAAGTTTATGTTTGACTTCTTTTATAATGTACATAGATTTTAAATACCAGGTATCTGTGATTCAGAATATAAAATTACAGCATATCTTGACAGATGTCTATGTCAGGGAGTCAATATTTGGTCTACTGTAAAAGTCAAGAAAGAAAAATTTTTTTGAGAGGATAGAAGGGTATTAAATAGAAATGATATCTGGGAAAAAGCCTTGTCCCTCAAATAAAAAGGCCATTCATTCAAGAGTACAGTATTACTCTTTTCTGATATTTAAAAGCATTATTCCTAGTATTAGGAATAATACCATTACCATCTAATTCTTATGTATTACAGTAATTACATATCCATGAATACAGATATAAAAATACAGACACTGCATGACAGCTAAGCAATTGTGGAACAACTTCCTAGACTAAACCACAGCATTAATACATCATTTATACCTTAACTGCTTGTTTACATCTGAACAAAAGTTTCACTAAGAATACTAGTAGTTTTTAAATGATATAATAAAAACTCTGATTACAGTTTTATTATTTTCTAAATTATATTTGAGAAAAACAAGCTGATGGCTTCACTTATTTTACTACTACTATATTCTGGATTATCTTATACAAATACATGTATAGAAACTTAAAAGATCATATTCCCATGGGGAGACATTATTGAATCTGAATCATTGTATGTATTTGCAAAACATTTTACCACTGCAAACATTAGAAGTTTTAAGATCAGGCATGGGAGAAGGTTTATAATTGACTACAGTGATGCTGGTGTACTTCCACACAAGGCCTCTTAGTGACATCAATCAATTGGAGGTAGGAGTTTATCAATGAATTGTTTGACATCCATCATTTCCTGTTTGGAAAAAGTAATTTAATAAGCAGGTATATAAGTCAGAAATTAGGTCATGAAAATATCATTAGGTAAACCCATAGATAAAATGAGGCCATATATATATATATATATATATATATATATATTTTTTTTTTTTTTTACAACTACAGTGAAAAGACACACAAAAAAATGGAGGCCCAGGGTGTAGCTCAGTGGTAGAGCACTTGCCTAGCATACTCCAGGGCCTGGGTTTCATTCCCAGCCAATAACAAACAAGGGGGGGAAGGTGCAAAAGAAAAAGAAATAAGAGCCTCCAATAGTTGTTGTTTTTGTTGTTATGGTACAGAATTTGAACTTAGGGACTTGCACTTACTAGGTAGGCACTCTACCCAACCCATGTGCCTTTAATAGAAATCTCAGAGCCGTCTCTATGTTTACTTAGACTGAAATGATAGTTTTCACCTATTATCTAGTTCCATGAAAATGACATCTTCTTATTCTTAAAAACAACACTAAGGAGTGAGGAAGTTTAAAAGAGACAATCTCTATGCCAAGAAATGTCAGTAACTATTAGTAACAACTATATAGAGAGTGGAGAAGCCTAGCTTTTACCATTTTTCTCATTAGAATGCAATGCTAAATCCATAATATGAACTATTTGTTCCTTTCATAAGGTATTGCATACAACTAACCATTTGAAAGAAAGTATGTACCTATAATAGCCTGGAAATACAGATGAACATACCAAGTCTTTATTAGAAAACAAACTTGAGGAAACCTCCAGTAATCTGGCTTTGTTCCCCATCTCCCTCAAGCCCACTTCAAAGGCATCCACCTCACCAGATCAGAAATTAGCTATGTAGAGGGCTGGGAAGGTGGCTCAGTGGTAGAGCGTTTGTCTTGCATGCCTGAGGCTCTGGGTTCGATTCCTCAGCACCACATAAGCAAAAAGAAAAAAGCCGGAAGTGGCGCTGTGGCTCAAGTGGTAGAGCGCTAGCCTTGAGCTGAAGAGCTTTGGGACAGCGCCCAGGCCCAGAGTTCAGGCCCCACGACCCAACCCCCCCCTCAAAAAAAAGAAAAAAGAAATTAGCTATGTAGAGAACTCTCAACTTTGCAGTTACTCTGATAGTGTCCTCACCAGACCCTGAGGCCTATGACACTTCCTGCTGCTCATTTCATTCAGTGTCCTCAAATGTGTTAACACAAACACCTTGCTGGCCCTCTAACAGACACATGCTTCTTGGTTGCTGTTTTCTGTCTGTATTGATAATTATATATGACCTTTAAAAGATGTTATAAATATCCAAATGGCCATTGGCAGGCATGAGAGAAGGTTCCCTACCCCTCAGTAGGGAACTCCTAAATGAGTATGTAAGGTGCCAGCTCCTAACTGACCCTCCCTTTTCTGGATGGAATACTTCATTTTAGTGGGAGAGCACTTAAAGGATTCCTGGCCCTCTTATCATTCTGTCCCTAAAGCAAATGACTTAGCCCAGCAAGCTGAGTGGTTGTGAAATAGTGTTAGCTTGGACTACTTCACTGCTTAGCAGTTAATCTCTTTTTATTACAAGACTTTACAAGTTCCACACCTATCCCAGCTTCCTTTGTTCTCATCAAGTGAACCTATTTATTGAAAAAGAGCATCAAAATGAAAGCTCTTTATCTGTTACACATATCCATTATCTGTCTCAATTCACTAGTGTTTTCTCCTTGTTGTAGATAAGACAGTCTATCTAGTTCTAGCATATGATCTCTAAGATTCCCTCCCTCCCTTTCTTCCCTTTTCCTCTTCTTGTCGTTTTCCTTTTTCCTTTTCCTTTTGGTACTGGAGATTGAACTCAGAGCCTCACACTTGCCAGGTAAGTACTCTATCTTCTTGAACCATACTTTCAAACCTTTTTCTTTTAGTTTGATTTTCAAATAGGTCTGTTAAATTTTTCCCCCTTTTTTTTACTAGCATACATTAATTGTACAAGGAGTACTTCATTATAACATTTCCATACGTACATACAATGTATCCCAATCAACCTTACTCCCTTCTCTATCAGTCCCTTACCCTATATCTCCTCACTTCTAAAATATTTTGACAGGTTTCATTGTTCTATTTTCTTTTTTATTGGTTGGGCTTGAACTCGGAGCTTGGGCACTGTCCCTAAGCTCTTTCACTCAAGGCTAGTGCTCTACCACCTTAAGTCACAGTGCCACTTCCATTTTTCATGGACTTTCCTGCCCAGACTGGTTTCAAAACACAATCCTCCTGAATAGCTAGGTTTACAGGCCTGAGCCACCGGTTCTATTTTCATCTATGCAAATAAATTATCTCAACCATATTCATCAAATAGGTTTTGTTCCTTTTTGCCCAGAATAATTTCAGACCTAGATCCTTCTATCTCTGCCTTATGAACAGCTTCAATTACAGGCATGTTACCACTATGCCAAGCAATATCTCCATTTTGACAGTATTCTCCTACAATAGTTGTTTACTGATCAACAATAGTGAGAGTTATTCCAAATCTCCGTTGATGGGCTTGAGTATCAAACAGATACGTTCAACATTCCTTTGCTGTCACAGGGTATGTCAGTCTCAATAGTCACTAAACTTAGTAGTATATTCTTCCTATTAACCTTAAGTGTCTAATATTTCCTTCTTTCCTATCAATAGAATTGACCTGTAAATTCTACTGGATTCAGTCTTATCTGGTTGTTCCAGAATGTAGATTAGATCACAACTCACTTCAGTCAGAAATACATGGTTTCTGGCTGACTACAGAATGGAGTCTTGCTGACAGTACAACCTAAAAGCTTCTACAACAGAACCCCTGCTCCTTCTCTCTTGTCTTAACATCAAGCTTTTCATAAAGACTCCAGCCTAACTGGACATTTCAATTCTCCTACCCTATAGTCCTTTACCTGCATACTTAGTATATTCAGCCTATTTACCTATTCAAAAATCTATCTCTTCTACTGTAATCTCAATGCTCCTAAAATAAAATTATAATCTCACTCCTCTGTTTTCCAGGATACTTTTCAGTAACAGCTAATCTGGGTTTAGAGGTGTGACTGATCTGTAGAGTCCCAACCTGGCAAGTGTTTAGTTCAAACCCCAACCCAAAACAATGCCTGCTAATATAATACACATGTATCACATTCTGCTTTCTCTATATCTTTCTCTCCTGCTAAAAATAATTTTTTTTTTTTCTGGTGCTGGTGCTAGGGCTTGAACTAAGAGTCTAGGCACTGTTTCTGAGCCTTTGTTTGTTCAAGGATAGCACTCTACCACTTGTGCCACAGTTCTACTCTGGGTTTTGGGTGATTAATTAGAGATAAGAGTTTCACAGACTTTCCTGCCTGGACTGCCTTTCGACCACAATTCTCAGATCTCCTAAGTAGCTAAGATTACATGCATGAGCCACTGATGCCCAGCTCCTCCTACTAAATTTTAAATAAACCAACTCCTACTAAATTTTAAATAAACTATTTTAAATGTTCATGAATAAAAGAGAATATTGTTCATCTTTGAATTCTGCACAAAGCTAACTCCAAAGTCGGGCACCAGTGGCTCACGCCTGTAATCCTAGCTACTCAGAGGGCTGAGATCTGAGGATCACGGTTCAAAGCCAGCCCGGGCAGCAAAGTCTGAGACTTATCTTCAATAAACCACTAGAAAACAGGAAGTGCCACTGTGGCTCAAGCCGTAGAACGTAGAACGCTTGCCTTGAGCTGAAAAAAAAGCTAACTCCAAGTACCTACCTGTTGACATGAACTGTGCATCATGCCTTCATATGTTTTGAAAGTCACATTGGCTGGATTGACCAATGTTTTCAGTTTTTCAGCAGTCAGACAACCAAACATTAGGGGAACTAAAGGGTCACAATCTCCATGGCACTGGAGAATAGAAATATCTCTATTAGCTCCACTTATAGGACCCTGCAAAAAAGTAAGACAAAATAGTATTATTGATGCAAATATATAAAAAGCATTATATTATAAGACTGTAGATATGCACCTTATCACTTATATTTGCCAAATGAAATTCCTTGATCCCTCATTCCTTTACTTAAACTTCTAAAGGATGCATGATTATTTTGCCGTGGTAGCCAATTACATCTTAATTCACCTTCCTATTCTCAGTATCTTAATATGTAAGGTAATTACTACTAGCATACATCAGGCAAATGAATGTGTTAATAAATATTATGTGTAATATACCAGCTACTATACAGAGATAAAACTCTAAATTTAAAAATGAATTGGTCATTGCCTCACTATTCACAATAGCCACGATATGGAAACAACCCAGATGCCCCACAAAAGATGTGTGGAGCTATATACAATGGAATTTTAAACAGCCATTAGAAAGAATAAAATAATGTCATTTGCAGGGAAACGGATGGAACTAGAACAAATCATGTTAAGTGAAGAAAGTCCAGATCAGAGAACAAGCACCACATGTTCTCTCTGATATGCAGAAAGTTAAATCTAAAATGCACTGGGATATGACAAATTACACAGGATTCTAGATACTCACATATACCTAGGAGAGAATCACAAAGGTGTAATACCCAAGCACCTCTTCAGATAGATAGACAGATAGATAGATAGATAGATAGATAGATAGATAGATAGATAGATAGATAGATAGATAGATAGATAGATAATATACATACTGAATCAAACTACATAGATATGGAAACAAAGGACTTCAAATTTTTTTGATGATTCTGTATTTTTTACCTTATACACATTGTATTCATGTGCACATCTGTGGGAGGGGAGGACACCAAATCCAAGGAGAAAGGGTGAAAAAGTGGAGCACAATGGACATTAATGAAAGTGAACTATACAACTCATGGGTGAAGATGGGAGGGAGAGAGGGAATGGAAGAGAATGAAGAAACAGGTAACACCATACAAATGGAAATATACTTATTACCTGATGCATGTAAATGTAACCTCTCTGCATGTCACTCTATAATCAGTAAATATTTTAAAAAGTGACCTGAAAGTGGCACTGTAGCTCTAGTGGTAGAGCACTAGCCTTGAGCACAGGCTCAGGGACAGTGCCCAGGCCCTGAGTTCAAGCCCTACAACCGACAAAAAACAAAACAAAAAAAAAAAAAAACTGAACCGAAAGCCAGGTGCCAGTGGCTCACACCTGTAATCCTAGCTACTGAGCTGAAACCCAAAGGATCACAGTCCAAAGCCAGCCCAGCAGAAAAGTCTGAAAGACTCAACCCTGAATTAGCCAGAAATAAAAAAAATCTCAGCTAGGAGCACAGCTTAAGTGGTAGTGCACCAACTACAAGCTGAGCAAGCCTTCCTCTGAGTTCAAACCCCAGTACTGGGATGTTTGCAATCTAGTATTCAGGAAGCTGAAGCAGGAGAATATCATAAGGACAGTGTAGGGTAAAAAAGACTCTGGGGGAAAAACAAAAAAAGGCTTCAAAAAAAAAAAAAAGCATGCTTCAGCACACATGCCTAGCACACGTAAGGGGGGAAAAAAGCCATAGATTCAATCCCCAGTGCTGCAAAAAGGAATTCAAAAATAATGTCCACACCTCCCATGTGTTCTGTATATTGGCTCTATTGTTTGAATATTTAGAAATTATATCTGCCTGTGCACTGGTAGCCCACACCTGTAATCCTAGCTACTCAGGAAGCTGAGATCTGAAGATCACAGTTCAAAGCAGGAAAGGCTATGAGATTCCTAATTCCAATTAACCATCAAAAAGCTGGAAATAGAGGTATGGCTCAAATAGTAAAATGCTAACCTTGAGCACAAAAGTTCAGGGACAGTGTCCAGGCCCTGAGTTCAAGCCCTAGCAGACAGACAGACAGACACAAACACACACACACACACACAGAGGGAGAGGGAGAGGGAGAGAGGGAAAAAGGTACAGAGGAAGGAAGGAAGGGAAGAGGGGAGGGAAGGAGGGAGAGAAATTATATCTGATAGTAAACTTCTGCTACCAAACACTAAATATTTTAAACATTAAAAATACTCTGTTAAAAACAGACCTATTTCATAATACTCTAAAATGTACCAAATCTTCAAATATTATGATTCATAACAATAGACTTATTTCTTATTGCATTTCATGTAACCCACAGTAAAGACATTATAGTATAGAGATATAAAGCCCAGTAATACAACAAAAAAAACTTTAGGGAAATTCTCTTAAACTATGATTCATGAAAACTATGAGGTGATGAGTGGTACATGTTCACCATCTGTAACCAAGGTACTACTGTGGTGTAGGATGTGTACAATGGGAGAGGCTGTGTTCCTGGGGAAAAAGGAACTCTGTACTTTCCACTCAATTTTACTATAAGCATAAAACTGCTTTTTAAAAATAACGGCTTATTAAATAAAAGGATGAACTCCCCAACGTTATCTATTATCTCTTAGCTCTGCAATTTTATGTTATACACATCAACCAAGCTACCTGTGGAAACGAAGTCCGAAGTGGAAGCCAGCAACTCAGTGCAGTGACGCCTGCCAGTTTCTGCTGCATGGTGAGAGCAGTGTATAAAGATAAAGCTCCTCCCTGAAAAGAAAGCAGGGACTGACTGGAACATGCATTCTGTCTGCAGCAGGAAAAATTTCCCTTTCTTAATGATGTTCATAAAGTAACAAAATAGTCCAGCACTGGTGGCTCACACCTATAATACTAGCTACATAGAAGGTTGAGATCTGAGGCTAGAAGTGTTAAGCCAGCCTGGGCAAAAAAGTCTGAGAGACTCCATCTCCAATAAACCAGGAACAAAAAACAAACAAAAAAGCTGCACTTGAGGTGTATCTGCAGCACAAGTGCATCAGCCATGAGTGAATAAAAAGGCAGAGATTGGAGTGTGAGGAGAGAGAGTTCAAACATTACAAGTAAGGTAAGCCATATTCTAAATGTGTAGTTACCATTTTGTCCTCTGAAAAGTCTTAGGCAAAAAAATCTAACCTAGAAGCAAATTTGTATTGTTTTCTAAAACAAATTCAAGGTAATGACTGTATAGCAGTCCTATCCACTACTGTTTAGCAGTAGTGTCTGCCCATACCCTGTCTTAGGAACTACATTCTTACTAGCCATCTCCAGGCCCCATAATTCTGTCCATGCCCATGAGTCATGGGGCATGAGAGTTTTTCTCCCAGGACTATGGACTACCAGTCTCTGCATGGCTGGAATGGTAACATGTAGACGCTAGAAAGCTCCAGGATGCAAATGCTTCAATGGTCGACCAATGATGGAAAGGTAGAAGAAACAGTTGAGCAGAGAGACAGAGGAAGGTAGAAAGAAGAGGCCTCATGGCTTGCTCAATCCTAGCTACTTACTGAAGCCTTGCTCTATTTTTATCTACAGTTCCCTAGATATAATGCCAAAGACTCCTGACCTAGTCCTTCTTCCTAAATGTATTAGGAATTGGTTTCTGTAGGCTATAATTGATGAATTATAAGTAATAAGATTCGTATGTCTCATTTTAATCAAACATCATTAGTCTCTATACCCATATTATGTCAAGACATTATCACCACAATCGCCAAATCAAAACCTTCTAACTAAATTTTATCAACAGCATCCCTTTCTATTGAATTTTTTTAAATTTTTTTTATTTTTTGTCAGTCATGGGGCTTGAACTCTGGGCCTGGGCACTGTCCCTCAGCTCTTCAGCTCAAGGCAAGTGCTCTGCCACTTGAACCACAGCGCCTCTTCCAGTTTTCTGGTGGTTTATTGGATCAGAGTCTCATGGATTTTCCTGCCGGGGCTAGCTTTGAACCGTGTTCCTCAGATCTCAGGCTCCTGACTAGCTAGGATTACAGGCATGAGCCACCAATGCCCAGCAAATTTTATTCTTAAATGATTCTAGAACTTTGCAATGTCCCCTAAGTTCTTGATTGAGGAGACTTATAGATTAGAAGCTACTGTATTGGGGAATGAGTTACATGAGCAGAAGTACTGATAGAATCTCAGTCTAAAGAAAATGGCTGTGCATTATTTACTATAGCTAAGATATGGAACCAACCCAGATGCCCCTCAGTAGATGAATGGATCAAGAAAATGTGGTATATATGTATACAATGGAATTGCATTGCCCCATTTGTTAGGAAATGGAAAGGCTTGGAAAAAATTATATTACGTGAAATAAGCCAGGCCCAAAGAAACATAGGTCCCATGGTTTCCCTTATTTGTAATATATAGTATATGTCTGAGTCAAGCAGAAAAGGTCAGATAAGGTGATGTTAAGGAAATGAACCCTAAGATATGTATTCAAATGTATTTTTTCTTTCATGCGATTGTTTCTAACACATTTGTAAGATTATTTCTTTGTTGCTTCGTATGTCCCTCCCCCACAGAATAACCCCTGCTTTCACTGTATTTGATATCAGTATAATTTGTGGAGGGGAAGAAGAAAAACAAATCATTGAAATAGGGATACAGGTGGACCCATTGCAACAATGAGAAGTACAAGTCCTTATGTCGAAAACAAACTTTACAACTTTGGTGCAGGGTGGAGGGGGGGGACGGGCGGGGTGGATTGGTGGGAGATGGGAAGGGTAAACAAAGGAGGAGGCTACAATGCTTGATAAGAAATGTACTCATTATCTTGCCCATGTAATTGTAACCCCTCTGTACAATATGTTCACAATAATAAATAACTAAATAAATAAAAAAGAAACTGGCTGTGGAATTATGTATACTGCAGCATTATTTACCATAGCTAAGATATGGAACCAACCCAGATGCCCCTCAGTAGATGAATGGATCAAGAAAATGTTATATAATGGAATTCTATGCCTCCATCCATCAGAAAGAATGGCACTGCCCCATTTGTTAGGAAATGGAAAACTTGGAAAACATTATATTAAGTGAAGTAAGCCAGGCACAAAGAAACAGGTCCCATGGTTTCCCTTATTTGCAATAACCAATATATGTCTGAGGCAAGTAGATAAGGTCAAAAGTTACATACACACGACCAGATAAGATGATGTTAAGCGAAATGAACCCCAAGATAGGGACACAAGTGGTTTTTTTCTTGCTTGCTATTGTTTCTAAAGTATAATGTACCATGTGATTTTTTTTGTTTCTTTGTATGTTCCTCCCACACAATATAACCCGTTTTCACTGTATTTCATGTCAGTGCCCTGCATCTTGTATATATACTTCTCTAATTTGGGGAGGGGAAGGGAAAAAACAAAATGCTTAAATAGGGATACAGGTTGACCCATTGTAACAATAAGATGTACAAGACACTATGTTGAAAAACAAATTTTACAATTTGGCAGGGGTGGGGGGGGGTAGTTGTGGAGGTGGGAGGGAAGGTATGGTAGGGGAAAAACAAAGGAGGAGGCAACAATGCTTGATAGGAAATATACACATTACCTTGCTCATGTAACTGTAACCCCTCTGTACAGTATTTTTACAATTAAAAACGTATTAAATTTTTAAAAAAGAAATTGGCTATGGAGAAAGTACAGAAGGTTGGAGAAGAAATACAAAGAGGAAGACACCAAAGTAAACATTACATACTTTTATCCATACCTATCTTATAGGCGAAAGAAGGAAAAAAGTTCTCCTTTTCCCTTTCTTATGGTTGCCACTAGTAGCTTTTTCTAAGAACTGTGCAATTAAAGGGCATATGTTATTAACTTAAAAACCTAACTACAATGTATTGTGCTTATTTTTTAAAAGTACATTCCAGGCTCCAATCTATTATTTAATGAATAGATTTTGCAGGCATTCTAAAAGGTAATGAACACTGAGACCAGGAAACTAGAAAAGCAAAAAAAAAAAAAGTATACTAAGCAGAAATTAATTAGTTCCACTCTAATCAAATTTTATTCCATACTACTACAAGACTCTATAACAGCTTCTTAAAGAAAAACTCTTCTCTAGAAAAAAGAAACCATACATTTCTATATAAATAAATATATTGAAAGTACTGACATATCTTACCTGAGAAAATCCTCCTAAAATAATTCTGTTAGAAGGAATGCCATTCTTTACCTCTTGATCTATCAAAGCTTTTACTTTAAAAAAAAGGAAAGAAAGTTACTACAAATACTTTAAAAATTAAGTATATTTATACAATTTAAAATAGGAAAAAAATAAGAACAAAGTACATTCAAGATAGAAATGGGAGTATGAGCCTCACTCTGTTCAGTAATTCGCTTTGGAGAGGAAAGAAGTATTTCATAGGCCAACTCTATTGTGAGGACAGAACTTTTCATTCTGGAATTCACTAGGCTTGCCTATCTAGAAGGGCCTGGCCTCTTCCTGTCTTCCACAGAGAAGACATTCCATCTTCCCTTACTTGAGGTCATACTTTTACCATCTTTTATGCTTAGGCAAAATCTTAGCTTTAAGATCCTAGCTGGCTGCCGGTGGCTTGTGCCTGTAATCCCATCTACTCAGTTTGAAGCCAGCCTAGGCAGACAAGTGTGTAAGACTATTATCTCCAAGTAACCATCAAAATGTTGGAAGTGGAGGGCTGGGAAGGTGGCTCAGTGGTAGAGTGCTTGCCTTGCATGCATGAGGCCCTGGGTTCTATTCCTCAGCACCACATAAGCAAAAAAAGCCAGAAGTGGTGCTGTGGCTCAAATGGGAGAGCACTAGGCTTGAGCTGAAGTGCTGAGGGACAGCACCCAGGCCCAGAGGTCAGGCCCTATGACTGGCAAAAAAAAAACAAAAAACAACTTGGAAGTGGAGGCATGGCTCAAGTGTTAGAATGCCAACCATCTAAGCAAGGCAAGAACGTGAGGCCCTGAGTTCAAGCCCCAGTGTATATGTGGGCGGAGGGGGGGGGGGAAGGGGAGAGCTTTATGTTTTGATGAGTCCAAAAGTCAATCTTCATGGTTTGACATTCCCAATCATCCAATGCCTCTTGAATGTATTTTCTTCAATCTCAAAGAACTCTAAAATTGTTTTCTTTCTTTTTGTGTCAGGCCTGGGGCTTGAATTCAGGGCCTGGCACTGTTCCTGAGCTTTTGTGCTTAAGGCTATCACTTGAGCCATAGCTCCACTTACGACATTTTGGTGGTTAACTGCTAGGTTGACTTTGAACCAAGATCCCCTGAATAGCTGGGATTATAGTATAAGCCACTGACACCTGGCTTTCTAAATTCTTTTTTGTTGTTGTTGTTAGTCATGGAGCTTGAACTCCGCCTGAACACTGTCCCTCAGCTCTTCAGTTCAAGGCTAGCTCTACCACTTGAGCCACTGCATCACTTCTGGTTTTCTGAGTAGCTTTTTGGAGGTCAGAATCTCATGGACTTTCCTGCCCAGGCTGTCTTTGAACCGTGATCCTCAGATCTCAGCTTCCTGAGCAGCTAGGATTACAGGTGTGAGCCACTGGCGCCTGGCTGGCTTTCTAAATTCTTAATGATAATAAAAAAGACTTTTACTGAGTTTTGGTTTTTAATGTATTTCAGAAAATTTTCAAACAAATTCAAAAGTAAAAAAGAGCAGTGTGATAATTCTCCGCCTACACGGCATGTGGGTCAATTCCCAGCTGGGTTCTTTCACCAATGCTGCCCACCCTCAGGAATCACCACCCAGAACATTTCCAATTCCAGTCATCAGTGTTCTAGTTGTAAACATCTGCATACATTTAAAAAGAAGACAAGGAAGCTTCTATGTATTTTTTAAAACTACATCATCCCACAGAAAGTTAATGATTTTTTTGTTTTTACACACCAAATAAGCCAACTTATTATTACAAAGAAGAATGGAATACTAACCAGAAAACAGGCTCTGGATCTGGAGATTCTTAAAGTATAGCCTATACTAGGTAAATCAAAGCAAGGTTCTTACGTATTTGACAGAGCTGAAACTTGATAACTATTTGTCTCTTATCTACTTTACTTCCACTGATCACAGATATGTGTATGTGGTAAGAAAACAACAGAATGAGAATGGAAAAACAGTAATAAAGCATTTGTGAAGTTCCTGGCTTCCATCACCACCACCAACAACAAAAAAAAACAGCAACAACAAAACCCAAATTTACAGGTTGGTAAGGTAGCTCAGTGGTAGCATGCTTGCCTTGCATGCATGAGGCCCTGAGTTCAATTTCTCAGCACCACACAAGCAGAAAAAGCCAGAAGTGGGGCTGAGGCTCAAGTGGTAGAGTGCTAGTGTTCAGCTGAAAAGCTGAGGGGACAGTGCCCAAGCCCAGATTTCAGGCCCCACAACTGACAAAAAAAAAACCCCACATTTACAAAAGAAAGAAACAACACTACCTCTTGAATTCACATAACTGTGTCATATATAATCAGCGTCAATTTCACTACTGAGTTTCTTAAGAATAGTTTGAATGACTCTGTCTTTATAAAAAAATTTTCTGTACTTACCACTTTCTGATGCCTGTTTAATTCCATACTCATCTTCCTGGGATTCTGGTGAAAGTCCAATAATATCAAACCTAGAAAATAAGGCCAAATCTTAAAAGACCAATTCAATTTTAAGAAAATCTATCCTTGGTGAGTTATCTTTTACTAAAAAAGTGTCAAAGGTACCAAAGGCTCTATCCAGAGCCAATGGCAGGAATCTTAGACAGCACTGAGGAAAAATCACAACCTGTAAGCAGCACAGAAGAATGAGAACTTAGTCCTGCTTCCCAATCATGAAGTGCAAAAGAAATATGAGAATTTTTTGAGGGAAGAAAGAGAAGTGATTGCCTTGGAAACTATCTAGCTCTCAGGAAGAATAAGAAGTGGGAAAAATGAAGAGGTTCTAATTTAACTGATGTACCACATGTGATCATTCAAATGTCTAATTACTGGGCTGGGAAGCTGGTTCAATGGTGCTTGCCTTGCATGCCTGAGGCCCTGGGTTGGATTCCTCAGCACCACATAAGCAAAAAGAAAAAAGCCAGAAGTGGCGCTGTGGCTCAAGTGGTACAGCGCTAGCCTTGAGCCTTGAGCTGAGGGACAGCACCCAAGCCCAGAGTTCAGGCCCCACGACCGGACCCCCCCCCAAAAAAAATCAAATGTCTAATTACTGAAATCAATAAAGCCTTATTGAGCAGTAAGAGATGTTTCACTCCAATATTTCTATTCCCTCAATTTCTCATTCCCCTAGCTGTTTAAATTTACCCACAATCTAAAGCATGAAAACTTAAATAAGAGCATAAACTTAAAGTTATTTATGTAATTTTGCAATGTAAAACTGGCTAAATAAACTGAATATACACAAGGGTACTTCTGATAAAAGACTAAAAAGTTCTTAATGAATAAACTCTTACTTACCATGAAGGCATAGCCATATTCATATTTAATGTAACAGGCATAATTGGCCTACATGAGAATTCAAAAACAGACAAGTCAGATTAAAGCCAAACGTGATAAATTCTGTCAATCAACAGTTGGTAGTTATTTTAGACTCATACAAAATTTCATGCTGTAGTATTTACTAACATGAACTGTTTTGTATTTTCACACCTAAATAAGCTGATCTTTAGGCCCCCAACTATTTTCTAAAGAGAGAGAAACAACTGCAAAGAACTAAGCTAGCTAGGGGGGAAAAATTCTTTCTCAAGTCCTTACTTTACATTTGTAACTTTTCAGGACATGAGAAGGCAAAACCAGAAATCAAGACAGTTGGAAATACATATAAGAACAATTTACTGTTCAAACAATGTAGCATTAATTTCCATATGCTCAGATTACGCTTTGCTTATTGTCTATTTCTTAGCTTTGTACCTGCTAAATAAATTAAAGCTATGCCTAAGTGTCCCTTACATCTGAGGCAAGGCTGGCATGAAAGATAAGGGTGGACAATCAGAAATTATCCAGGCAAAAAGAAAAACATTCTAAATCTAGATACTCCCTGTTTCCTACAATAAATCTATATTAGAAGTTATAAAACCTAAGTTTTATAACTTTTCTAGAAAAGCAAGGCTCTAACAACTGTTCTGAATTACAAACCTAAAGATGAGAAATACTCACGCATGTGGGCAGATGTATTTGATATGTGAACTTCTTATACCAGCAAAGGCTTCTGCCCATCCATGCCTGGTGGAAAATATTATTTGGAAGCACTATTATATCCGATACTGTTTAAAATGACAACAAATAACAGTAACAACAGTATTTAAAATTTGTGATGTTAGTTCTTTATACTATCTCAAAAGTGTGGACTATCAGTATTATTAAACAGTATCATGGACCTAGAAACAACCCAACAGATTTTGCAGACAGTCTCATGCTTCTGGACAGGATGTGTGTGCTTCTTCTTATTTTTCACTGTACTTCAGTTTTAAAAATATATTTGTGTATTTATATCCCTTTATAACTTTATAAACAAGTTATAATAGAGGCAAGACAGAGAAGATAATTCAAATTTTGTGTGAAAAAGGCCTCAAAAGAATAAATGAGTTTTATTCTATTTTTGCATTATTAAAAACTTGAATTAATATTCTTCCCTTGTGCATTTATGCAAAAATCTGCGTAGGCTCAAAATAAAACACAGGAAAACTGGAAAAAAATACTTGGGCAAGAAATAAAGTCCTTTGACATATTTTTGATATTATTTCTGACTTTTTTCCATGATTACCACTTGAGAAATATGATCAGAGATGTCAGTGACAGATCACCAGCCTAAATGCAAACAAAGCCCTGGGTTCATTTCTCCAGCTCCACTCAAAGAACAAAAAATGTGATGGAAATGGGACATTCTCTACAGTTTCCTGCTTGTTTACATTTTATATTACACTTGATTTTTTATGTTATTTCTAAAGGATAAAGTAGATGTAATTTAAGCCTTTTGTAAAATTATCTGGACATGAATGTTAAAAACTTCTGTTGGGGCTGGGAAGGTGGCTCAGTGGTAGAGTGCTTGCCTTGCATGCATGAGGCCCTGGGTTCAATTCCTCAGCACCACATAAGCAGAAAAAAAAAAAGCCAGAAGCGGCGTTGTGGCTCAAGTGGTAGAACACTTGCCTTGAGCTGAAGAGCTGAGGGACAGTGCCCAGACCCAGAGTTCAGACCCCACGACCGGACCCAAAAAAAAACCAAAAAACTTTTGTTAACTATTTTTCTACTTTAATCACTTTAAATCCATACAATCCCTAAAGTGTTAAAAATATATTTTAAAAAGAAAACATTTAAAACATCAAAGTATTAATAGTAACATAAAACCAACTATATGGGCTGGGAAAGTGGCTCAGTGGTAGAATGCTTGCCTTGCATACATGAAGCCCTGGGTTTGATTCCTCAGCACCACATAATCAGAAAAAGCTGGAAGTGGCACTGTGGCTCAAGTGGTAGAGCACTAGCCTTGAGCTGAAGAGCTGAGGGACAGCGCCCTGGCCCAGAGTTCAGGCCCCTCCGCCGGCAAAAACAAAAACAAACAACTATACCAACTATGAACTAGACTATTCTAGTAGCTCTGTGTTTGTGCATGTGTATATGTGTGAGTCTTATGTACATATGTGAGATACAGACCATATGTAATGTGCATTATACATATATATATATATATATATATATATATATATCTTTGTAACTCTTACATATTTTACTTTGAAAACTATAAAACATTATGGAAGAATTGAAAGCTTCATAAATAGAAGATGATTCGTGTTCACAGCCTAGATGACAACATTTGTAAGATAGCAGGACTCCCTTAATTGATCATCAGTGAACATAATCTTTATGAGAACCCAGGTGAGTGTGCAGAAACTCACAAAGTCCTGGGAATTCAAGACTCAGAATAACTAAAACAATCTTTCAAATAACAAAGTCGTAAGTAGTGAAAACAGGAAGCAATAGAGAGGTTTATTCTGAGCAAAACATAATACATACACATCTTAAATATCGTAATGAAATCCCTTGGTATAATGGAAAGACACTAGGGTACTAGAGGGAGAAGGGAGGGTTGACAGAAAGGGTGAATGAAGATGAATATGGTCAATGTATAAAAACAGAATATTAAATTGTTTTTAAAAAGAGAGTAGGATGAGCGAAAATGATAAGAGGTTAAGCAGGGTGTGTGTGAAAATGTTACAATGAAACCTCCCTTGTACAACTAATATGTGCTAAAACAAAAAAATTGTCAAATTTTTAAAGAACAAAGTTGGAAGACTAACATTTCCCAACTTTAACATTACTACAATATAAGAAAGATGACAGTAGTAGCCCAAGAAGTATTGATGTATATCAACTGAGAATCCATGTCAACTTAAAAATACCAGAACAAATCCATAGAGAAGGAACAGTCATTTCAACAAATGTAATGGACAGGTGAGCATGTACATATACAGAATGATACTTGATTGCTACTTCACACTGTATATAAAATTAACACAAAATAGGCCGAAGACTTAAATATAGTAAATGAAACTTTTACTACTAGAATAAAACATGCATACATCTTTTTGACCTTGTCATTGATTTTTGAGATACAATGGAACAACCAACAAAGAAAAACTACATAAACTGGAAATCATCAAAATTTAAAACTGCTGTGTTTCAAAGGACAATGAATAAAGTGAAAAGACAAGCAATTATAAGAAATATTTGCAAACCTAAGTCTAATAATTGTCTAATATCTATAATATATACAGAATAATATTACACACACACACACATAGACACACACACACAATCCCCTCCCCATTTACAAATGGGCAAAGCACCTGAAGATAATTCTTCAAAGAAGATAAGACAAATTGCCAAAAGCATAGGAAAAATACCTAACATTATATTAGTCATTAAAGAGATACAGTGAGGGCAGTGGAGCACCTCTGTATTCCTAGTCCTCAAGAGGTTAAGGTTGGAAGATCTCCAGTTTTAGGCTGGCCTGGTATAGACTTACAGTGAAACTCTGCCTCAAAAACAATACGAATTCTATTTTATACCAGGAAAGCTATAAAATTGTCTAAAAACAAACAAGAAAAACATAAAGAGGGCCAGGCATTAGTGGCTCATGCCTGTAATCATAGCTATCCAGAAGGCTGAGATCTGAGGATCTTGGTTTGAAGCCAATCTAGGCAGGAATCTGTGAGACTCTTATCTCCAATTAACCACTCAAAAGCTGAAAGTGGAATAGCCTTGAGCAGAAAAGCTCAAGGACCTCTCCCAGGCCCTGAATTCAAACCCCAGGATCAAGGGGAGCAGGGTGGGAAAAGGGAGGACTTAAAGAATTACAAGAGCCTGGTAAAGCTGTAGAGAAATCAGAACAAATATATATTTCTGGTGAAAATGGTCAGGCATTGTGGACAACAATTGGATAGTTTCTCAATAAAGTAAGTGAAATTACTAAAGGACCCCAAAACTTCAATTCTAGACAGATACCCAAGAAAACTGAAAACATACAGATAAAATGCACATAAATGCTCATAACAGTATTATTCAGAACCACTAAAAGATGAAAATACTGTCAAAGGTCCATCAGTGAACAGATGGATACATGGCTAATATACTCATGACAGGGTATCACTCCACTATAATAAACATTTTAAATTATGACATGCTGCCAAAGTGGATAAGTCTGAATACTTTTTTTTTACTCCATCTCAAAACAAACCACAAAACTGACTGCAAGATACATCATCATACCCACCATGATGGTTATAATAATAATAATAAGATAATAGTGTTAAAGAGGATGGAGAGAAACAGAACCCTTATACACTGCTGAAGAAATATAAATGGTGCAGCCACTTTTGAAAACCATCTGGCAAGTCATCCAAACATTAAACATGAAGTTACCATATGATCCAGTTCAACTCCTAGGTCTATCCAACAGTACTGGAAACATGATGCCCACCCCCAAAACACATAAGAGTAATGCTCTTAGCAGCATTATTCTTCTCCCAAGTGGAAATAATCCAAATGCCCACTAAATTTTGAGGGAGACAGAGCATACACAAAGATACCTACAACTGCAAGCAAAGGATGAACTAATAAACAAAATATGGCATATCTATACAATGGAGTATGATTAAACAATGAAAAAGAATAAAGTACTTATTTGTACTTGTTGATTTTTCCTAATTTAAGATATTGCATGCTAGTTATGTTCAGTGTCCTTGTGAATGAGGAACACAAACTGGAATTCTGCAAGGTGATAGATCATATTTGCAGGTTCATCTCAAATGTTGACATAATCATGTATGTGTGTTTGTGTGTGGGTGGAGAGAAGATAAAGAAGGGAAGAAAAATGAAAAATGAGATGGAGACAGAGCAGATACTTCCACCTGCATGCAATGGACTGAATGCACAATGGAACATATTCAGTAAAGAATTAATGACTTGGAAAGCTCTAGGTTAGTGCTGTGTCATTTTACTGTATACACATATGACAGCGTGTGGTGATGCAAGCCTTTGACCCCAGAACTAGGGAGATTGAAACAGATAGATTTCAAAAGCAAGCCTTGCTTAAAGTTACACAGAAAGGTACCCTCAAAAAAATATACAAAAAAAAAAATACGCACCCTAGCCGGGAGCTGGTGGCTCACTCCTGTAATCCTAGCTACTCAGGAGGCTGAGATTTGAGGATAGCAGTTCAAAGCCCATGAGACTGTTATCTCCAATTAACCACAAGAAAACTGGAAGTGGTGCTGTGCCTCAAGTGGTCCAGTGCTCGCCTTGATCTGAGGAGCGCAGAGACAGCGCCCAGGCCCAGAGTTCAAGCCCCACAACAGACAAAAACAACAACAACAAAAACAACACATACCTATTTTTAAAAACTTGGGTGGTTTTGAGTGGTGCAATGTGTGTAAAAAAATTATTTTCTAGCAGGTGTTCAAAACTATAGTTCTAGCTATTTAGGAGACCAGTTTGAGGCCAGCCTAAGCCAAAACATTTGTGCATGTACCTGTTATTCCAGCTAGGGGGGAAGAATAAAAGGGTGGATGCAGTGGTGCATGTACAACAGGGAAACACAAATAGGAGGACCTAGTCAAGGCTAGTCTGGGCATAAAGAGAAACAGGATCTAAAAAATAACCAATACAAAGAGGGCCGCTGAAGTGGCTCAAGTGATACAGCATCTGCCTAGCAAGTGCAAGGC